ATCGCGATTAATTGCATCCAAAATAAAAGTTTTTGTTTACATAATATATTTGTGTGTACTGTGTATATTTATTATGCATATATAAATACAAACACATGCATGTATATATTTAAGAAAAATATGTTGTTTATATATTAAATATATTTATATATAATATAAAATATAAGAATATAAATATATAAATGTATATGCATGTAAATATTTCCAAAATATATGCTGTTTGTGAGTGTATGTATATATGCATAATAAATATACACAGTACACACACATATATTATGTAAACAACCACTTTTATTTTGGATGCGATTAATCGTTAAAGGCCAAAGACCTTTATTTTGAGGTCCAAAACTGGTCAAACATTTTCTACCTTTTAAAATACAATAATGTATTCATAACTATCAAATATATGATGTAAATGACATAAAAAAAACTAAATGTCAAATAAATATTATAAAATATATATTGAAATTAGTGGTCCCCTGGAGTTGTGTCACTGGTGTCACCGTTTAACAAAAATCGTTTATTTTGAAATAAAAATCACACTGATGACATCACTTGACTTCCTTCTTCCTATTTCCTGAAGATCTATGAAAAAAGGCCCATGATAAGTCCACTGTCTCTTTTCAGTTATCAGAATTTTCTTTCATTCATCTCATGATTTCATATGAAGCTTTTAGTTGAACTCACTGGTATGACCTACATTATTGTTAGGGAATTGTAAAAAACGAATACAAATGGATTAATCTACTTAATTTAGTGCACTCTAAAAAAAGATGGTTCTTTAAAGGTTCTTTACATGCAGTAATGGTTTTATTTAGAACCATAGCATTCAGGCTTCCAAGCAAACGTTCTTATCTCTCTTTTTTTTTAGTTTTTGGTCACATATAAGTGTGTGCAGCTCTGCTAAGCTGTGGAAACTTCTCTCCGTCTTCATGACATCTATTTTTTGTTCTTATTTTGTGTTTTATTTATTTATGATTTTATTCATGTTCAATGTCAATTGTCATTCATTAATGTATTCAGCTAATAACTGTTGTTAAGAGCACTGATAATTTTGCATGTCAATAAAAACATAATTCACACAACATGCTGCTGTGGTGGTTATTGTTGTTGTTGTTAATGTAAAACCCTAACCGAGGCTAAACTCTAAGATGCCTCATTACTGATTTTCTGGAGCTCAGCCATCCAACTACACAGACTGTCAACACACTCTC